ATCTATCTATCTATCTATCTATCTATCTATCTATCTATCTATCTATCATCTATCTATCTATCTATCTATTTCTATATCTATTTATTTCTCTTTCTACATACATACATACATACATACATACATATCTATCATTTATCTATCTTTCCTTCCTAAGCAGGGGGTTGGTCTAGAAGATCTCCAAGGTCCCTTCCAACTCTTCTCTTCTCTTCTCTTCTCTTCTCTTCTCTTCTCTTCTCTTCTCTTCTCTTCTCTTCTCTTCTCTTCTCTTCTATTCTATTCTATTCTATTCTATTCTATTCTATTCTATTCTTACTCTACCCCACCCTAATTCTACTCCACTCCATAAATGAGGTTGAAAACGGGCCGCTCCTGGGGAGGTCTGGGGCTAGCAATCCAATAAAATAGATGGATGCAGCCCCAGCAGATGCTCGTAGAAAGCAGGATCTGCAGTGTGCATCTGCCACCCTCATTCTGCGTAGCGCACGCTCGGCGGCGAATGAGACAGAAGCTTTCGAAATTAATAAAAGGGGAAAAAAAATGAAAAACAGCCCCCCCTCCCCCACCCCTTCCCTTTCCCACCAGTTCTCAGCTGCCACCTGGGTTCATTTAATCACATACATCTCGTTGCTGGGAAAGATTCTGCGGTCTCTCAACCCAGGCATGTAGGAACCGCCATCATCGGGTTATTAAAACAAACCACGAGGAAAACCCAGCCTTTGGCAGACCGGGAACGTGGCGTGATCCCTTCTATTTGATGATTTCTTTCTTTTCCCCTAGCAAAAAATAAAAATAAAAATCCCTTCTGTCTTCTCTCTCTCTCTCTCCTGATATATATATATATATAATTCAGGGGCAGAGTCAGGGGTGGAGCTGCTGGGGGTTTGCAGGGGTTCAGGATTGCCCCGAGCTAAGATTCTCTGCAGTTTGGAGAACCCGCAAATCTCACTCCTTGCTGGTCCCACCCACCCCGCCCCTCCCCGGAGTCCCCAATTTTTTGTCCTCCCAGAGGCCTGAGGGAAGCCTCCAGAGCCAAGGAGGGCCCAAAACAGGCCTCCCAGAAGTTTGGGAAGGCTGGAAACGAGCCCATTTCCGGTTTCCAAAGAGCCTCTGGAGCCCGGGGAGGCTGTTTTCGCCGTCCCGGAGGCTCCAAGAAAGCCTCGGGACCCTGGGGAGGGCAAAAACACACCCCGCCTCGCCGTGGTGCAAGAGGCCAACTAGGCCACACCCCACCATGGCTACGCCCACCCAGCAACCAGACAGAGAAAACCCGTTGCTAAAATGTTTGAAGCTCACCTCTGGGCAGAATGAGCAAAGGGAATACAATAAAGTATAAAACGCGGAGATAATAGAGAGAGGGATGAAATCATGAGAACGCTTTCATCCACTGGGTGGAAGGTGATTGAAAGCAGCAGAAAATCCTGGACTTTGTTCAAGGGGAGAAAAAGAAAGAAAGAAAGAAAAAAACTAAACTAAATTTTATCCGGCTGTGAAAAGTATCCACCTGTCTAGTTCTGCGTCCCAAAGGAATAAGAAGATGCACAATTTGACCCCAGATCTCAGGTGTTTGGATTTTTTTCCCCGTGTAAGATTGAGAGTATCTTGGCAACGTTTTGGCGAGGTCCCACTCGCCATCTTCAGGCTGGTACTTTTGGCTTCATGCTTGTGCAAGCCAAGCGTGATCAGAGCTGTCGTCTCTCTATTAATACTAACGGGGAGGTGTGGCGTGCTGGCTCTATTGTAAGCGGGATGGTTGGCTGTGTTGTTATTTCTTGATTGGTTGATGGAGTTGAAGTTTGCAGGTTGGTTGGCTTTTTCGTAAGAACCTTTGTGGCCGAGGTACTGGCTGTGTGTCCATCAGCCTCCTGTGTTGTAACGATCTGGGTAATGGGCTGTGTGATGAGCCGTGATGGACATCTGCCAATTTTGACACCCTCAATTAATTGTCCAGGGAACCAGACAGAAACACTTGAAAAATAATCTGGAAAACGACAAACGTTATTGTGCTCTGTGGAGTTCCTTGCAATCACCACCATGCAAATTGGAAAGATGTGTTTTCTTATTTCTTTTTGCTTTCTCCTCCCACTGGCTTAATTAACCCTACTGGGAAGAAGGGGAATTTTTTTTTTAAAAAAATCGATCGATTAATAGGATAGAAATTTCCCCCTATTTGGATTAAAAAGACCCTCATTGTGGACCGCTGTGAGGTTGGCATGGGAGGGTTCAGGAGGTATCTGAAACGCATCTCCAGACACCCCCTCCAAGTCTTTGGGGGAGACCAGCCAGCAATAATCCCCCACCCACCCAATTCAACCAATGGAAAATATTCCTTCCCCTCCCACCTTACAAAACTACAGCTATTATATATGTAGGCGTATGTACCGTATGTTAATTATATATGGGTAGTCCTTGACTTACAAGCATTCATTTAGTGACAGTTGAAGTTACAACAGTATTGGGGGTGGGGGAGAAGTGACTTGTGACCGTTTTCCACCCTTACAACTGTTGCAGTGATCACGTGATCAAAATTCAGAGGTTTGGTGTTCTCACCCGGCTTCCCAAACGTGACAAACCCTCAGGAGTTGAAGCAATTTAGGAACACCTACATTTATTAGGAGCCCTGATAAAAAGTTTCTCTCTCACTGCAGGCTTACAAATCCATCCGGCCTGAAGATGAATAGTTGTCTGTCACATCTATTCGTCTCCGCCCCCTGCCTGTTATCCCCAGAGCCAGGGTGGGATTTCGCTAGCAGTGGTGGCTCTTCCGTCCCAAGGACCGGCTCATAGATTTCCACTGCTCTCCTCTCCTCTGCCATCTGGGCATCCAGGCACTGGGCCCAGCTGTTCTTCCTATTCCTCATCAGCCACCTCCAGACCTGGGCACGGTTGACTCTCCATCTGAGGGCTGATGGACAGCCCAGGCTCCGCCCCCCCTTTCTCTCTGCCAGCTCTATTCCCTCTTCCCCCTCGCAGCTCTCAGGTTGTCTTGATGCTGACCTTGACTCTCACTCCTCCTCCTCCTCTGATTCAGCTGATGGAGGGACAGGCCACAACACTTGGCCACTGGCATGTACTTATGACTGTTGCAGTCTCCCGGGGTCACGTGATTCCTCCCTTTGGCGACCTTCTAATGAGCAAACTCAACGGAGAAGCTTAACAACCATATTGCTAAGTTAGCAACCTCAAGGATTCACTTAAGAACAGCGGCAACAAAGGCCACAAAATGGAATAAAACAAATGCCTCGCTTAACAACAGAAGTTTTGGACTCAATTGTGGTCATAAGTCAAGGATTACCTGCCTGTTAGTTATATGAGTTACAACCATCCATTTTAGTGATCGTTCGAAGAATCCAGGAAGCCAGATTCACTGAACATGTTACGAGCGTAACATCTGCAGCGGTTCTCTTAACAATGGTGCCAAAAAGGTCGTAAAATGAGGCAAAACTCACTTAACAACTGTCTTGTTTAGCAATGGAAATTTGGGGCTCGACTGTCCTTGTAAGTCTGTGATTAAATCAATAATAATGATAATGATACTAATAACAACAACAATAGCAATAATAACAATAATGCCACCTTTGTAATGAGAAAGATGAAATAGTGACCATTTAATCAGTGGGTGCAGTAAGGCTGACTACCTGGAACGCCATAACTAAGTTGCTAAAATCATTCACTGGAAACTGTGCCCAAAGTTTGGATTTGAATATAGTAACAACTACTGGGAACATCAGGTTGAGAAGGTTCTGGAGAATGAAAAAGTCAAGATCTTGTGGGACTTCTAGAATTCAGACGGACAGGCACTTGGCCCACAACACACCTGACATAACAATGGTTGAAAAGAAAAAGGGTTGGTTCATTGACATCGCAATACCTGGTGACGCACGAATTGAAGACGCGCAGCAAGAAAAAATCACAAAGTATCGTGACTTACAAATTGAAGTTGAGCAACTTTGGAAAAAGAAATCGTGTGTTATCCCAACTGTCATTGGAGCCCTTGGAGCAATACCTAAAGGGCTGGCTCACTATTTGGAAATCCTGAATTTATCAGACTTGAACACCCTGATTCTACAAAAAAACACCCTGCTTGGAACAGCTTATATCCTCCGATGCTACCTGAACAGTTCCTAGGTCCTTGGTTAGGACTCGAGCTGTTGAGCTACCAACCAAGGCTTTGAATCTCACTAAAGATTAACCACCACCAGCACCACCACCAATAATAATAATAATATAAAATAAAATAAATAAAAATGAATAAAAATAAAAACAGTTCCTAGGTCCTTGGTTAGGACTCGAGCTGTTGAGCTACCAACCAGCCACAAAGGCTGCGAATCTCACTAAATATTTAATAATAATAATAATAATAATGCATTGTAAAATATATGAGGAGATGGGGAGGAGGGGACAGGACAAAATAAATACATTTTTTTAAAAAAAGTCAGCTTGTAAAAGTCCAACTATGGTAGAATTCCTATTTATTGAAAAAAAAATCAATATATTTGCTATAAAATCTGTAACAGTAATGCAACCGGATACTTATTTTCAGATACATAACCCTGAATGTTACATACCAAATACAATACAGTAACACTGCCTTCCTCTTTATTTACACGTCGTTTATGAAAATTGATATGCAATCCATGTTAAAGGAACTTAGAATGGAGAACCGTTATGTTAGAAAAATAATATTCTGCAGAAAGCAATGTCCAAGAATCCAAGCACATTTGTGTGGGGTTTTGTTTTGTTTTGTTTTGTTTCATTTTTTCTTTTTCAGGCCTCTGGCAATAAGGCAAAAAGTCCCTGGTAGAGCAAATAACTTAATTTACAAAATACAAATAACTATTCAAACACATTTTTTTTTTTCCTTTTTCAAGTTGGCGTTTGGTATGTACTCGTTTCTCACTATGAAATCGGATTTATTTCATTTATTGATTATTTTTATTGTCTTCTTATGAAACGGAAAGACTCTTAGGCGTGAACATTTTGGAGGAAGATCTACCACATCATACACAGACATTGCTGGAGCTTAGAAACCAAGAAACCTTCTTCCAGTTGGCTCAAGGTGAGCTAATAAGAGGGCACGTACTTTTAAATAATGAGATCATTATGATTGCAGAGTTATTGGTTGGTTTTGAGTTTTCATAGGAAACATTTCAGGAGCATTTTATTTCCTCCTTTTCGTTTTTGGAACTGGCACACGACTACATTTTTCACGAGAGGACATCACAAGTGCAACTAAAACCAGGTTTGGAAGGCTATGAGCCAAACCTAATTCTCCTCCTTTTAATACTTCAGCTCGCCTCTGTCATCGCAGTCTGTCACACGTTTCTCCCCGAGCGGCTTCGGATCCAACTGTGTGGTCAAGTAGTTTTAATCCCTTCGAAGGCACAAAATTTCCACCGTTTCTCCAGCGTGGCTCCAACGCCGGAAAATTCTTGCTTAAACATACGTGGAAGCCGCATCAAAAGCATTTCTATTTCGTTCGCTGAGATCTAGGGAGGAAGGCAAAGGAGGAGAAGGAGAAGGAGAAAGAGAAAGGGAAGAAGAAGAGGAGGAGGAGGAGGTAAAAGAAGGAGGAGGAGGACGAGGAGGAGGAGGACGAGGAGGAGGAGGAGAAAGAAAGAAAAAGAAGAGGAGGAAGAAGAAGAGGAGGAAGAAGAAGAAGAAGAAGATTAGGAGAAAGGGGAAAGGAGAAGGGAAAAAGTAGGAGGAGGAGAAGAAGAGGAGGAGGAAAAAGATATTTCTATGATTTCATATATATTATATATATATATAATTAAAGTTTTTGTAGTGTAAAATACAAATAAAATGAAGGAAGACCATGGAAAAGCGGGAAAGGAAAGCAAATAGGGGGAATCAGACTTCAGAGAGTAATTAAGACTGCAGAAAAAATAATTACTACCAATCTACCTTCCATGGAGGATCTGTATACTGCACAAGTCAAAAAGAGGGCTGTGAAAATATCTACAGACTCCTCACATTCTGGACATAAACTGTTTCAACTTCTACCCTCAAAACGATGCTATAGAGCCCTGCACATCGAACAACTCGACACTAGGGGAGTTTTTCCCCCCAAAGCCATCACTCTGCTAAACAAATAATTCCCTCAACACTGTTCAACTAGTTACAAAGTCCGCACTACTATTACTATTACTCTTCTCATCACTCCTTATCACCCGTCCCCTCCCACTTGTGACTGTATGACTGTAATTTTGTCGCTTATATCCTTATATATTACAACTTATATTGACTGTTTCCTAGTATGATGTGATTGCTTATTGTACCCTTTGACTATTATTAAGTGTTGTATCTGATGATTCTTGACTCTTGATGAAGGTATCTTCTCTTTTTATGTACCCTGAGAGCATTTGCACCAAGACAAATTCCGTGTGTGTCCAACCACACTTGGCCAATAAAGAATTCTATTCTATTCTATTCTATTCTATTCTATTCTATTCTATTCTATTCTGTTCTGTTCTGTTCTGTT